CATACAATTTTCCAGCAAAGAGTGTGCACCGTACTGGACCACCCTTCTCCTAAGGTGGCTCCGCCCCTGACTGAACCTCAACATAGGCTAGAACTCGCCTGGGATCCGAAATATCAAGTTGAATCATCCTATTGGCTAAATACTGAATGTCTAAAGCAAAAGGTCGCTCTGAAACTGAAAGAGCGCAATAAAAAGACAATGACCTGGAGGGTCATTATTTGTTAATAAGTGTTTGATTCTCACTCTATAATCCTCTCCTTCATTTTCCGATCCCAAATCGACTTCAGCCGATTTAGGTCTGCTTCTTGCACTTCATTATATTTTGATTTGTATGAGCATGCTTATGGAGATAATTCAAAGTTAAGTGTTAAGCTTTCTACTTTAATATCTAGGATGTAATGATATTATATAGCATTATCTTTTTTTATTATAGATCGATTATCCAATCTATGTATTAAAAAAAATGCAAGTCATTTTGTACATTATGGTTGTAGCAAATTTGATTACAAGGCAGTATAGGGGAGTACAAAACATTAATCAGGTGGCAGGACCCTCCACAGTCCATTTAATGAATATGATAAAAGGATAAATACTGAGCATATAGCCTTTTAAAATTTATTTGGAGTGTTACCCACGACCATATTTAATTAGCATTAATCCTCAAAAAATAATTAATGATGTATAGAGTAAATCTCATTACTTGACAGCATTTTACATCCTTGTTACCTTCGATTTAAAGGGATTTTTTCACTAAAATTTGGTGTTTTTTTATTTTTGAATTTACGTCCTTCCGTCATAATAAGTAGAATATGAACCATTTTCTAATCAAATTTAGATTTTATATATATCATCACTTCAATCTTATTTCTGTGTATATGATTAAAAATAATTGAATTAATTCATACTACCGTTATTCAACAAATATTTAGATTTAAGAAAAAACTAAAAAAAAAGTAGCTTGATTGTTTTGATAATAACTCAGACACCACTTACAAAATATTATGTGTACGCTACAAATTTATCCTAATTAGTCATTAGATCGAATCGAGCATTTAAAATTGAAATAAATTGAGCAGCGAAATTAGCTAAACATTATTAGTGGTGGTCCATGATTGTGTTGGTGCATCAAATTACAAAAATTGAGATGTCACAACTTGGTGAGCTAGCCACATTTAATTTGCCTTGTCCATCTTTTTCATTCACTATAGCAAATAACAATATATGAAGTAATTGATTGCATCAAACTTATTTTCTTTTCTTGCTTTCATTTTCATCATCTTCATGTATAGTAATATTTTTAATTAAAGTATGATCGCTCATTGTATGTTTTAGAAAACATACACATTTGTCTGTCTACTTGTTTTGAAATATAATGTGCCCACACAATGACCTCAATAATAAATATTGTGTGCCCCAAGTTTTAGTATTAGATAGTGACTGAGAAGGGTACGTAAGTACAACAACCATCACGGTTAGAAAAACAAGAAATTAACGATGATAAATTTTTGTAGTTGAACAACAAAAAATTTATGCTAATTTTATTTAGAACTAGCTGTTAGGGTTTTGCCCTGATTTTCTTACCTTATTTGAAATTTATTTTTTCCTTAAAGAAAAGTCAAAGTATTACCATAAATGTTTGAACTTTTTCTAAAAGGAAAATATAATTTTCTTCCATATTTGGTTTATTCTTTCCATAGAGAAATAGTTTGGAGATCTATAAATTGAAGATCCCTATTCTCATAGCATAATATAATAGAATCCACAATGTAGTCGTTTAGTGAGTTTTGTTTATGGGGAGATTTAATCTCTCAACAGTTTTAACATTTTTCTTTATATTAGTTTTCATATAATAATATTAGTTTTTAGTATAAGTTTTTGTCATCTAATTTATCAATCATATTATTTGCAATTGTAAGCTTCCGCATGACGCCCTAATCACCCTTCAGAACCCAACAAGTGGTATCAGAGCACATGGTTCAAAGATCTGATGGTTCATTGATCTAATGCTTGAATGAGGTTGAAGACAAGCTCAAGTGGTTTCAAATCAATTTGTAACTAATTTGATGATAAAGAAGATTTTTGTCCAACTACATGTGGAGAAAAGATTAAAATCATATTTTCAACATTCCAGTTGTTGCATCTTTGAAAATAAAAATAAAATATTTTTAAATCATTTTTAACCCATATATTTTAAACTTTATTTTTAACCATGGCAAGCAACAATGATGAAGACTATGTGAAGAACGAAGATGTTATGCATGTGAAGAAGACGGATCAAATTTTGTCAAGAAAATCCAGCCAAAAGGGGAGATTTGTTGGGGTTTTGCCCTGATTTTCTTACCTTATTTGAAGTTTATTTTTTCCTTAAAGAAAAGTCAAAGTATTACCATAAATGCTTGAACTTTTTCTAAAAGGAAAATATAATTTTCTTCCATATTTGGTTTATTCTTTCCTTAGAGGAATAGTTTGGAGATCTATAAATTGAAGATCCCTATTCTCATAGCATAACATAATAGAATCCACAATGTAGTCGTTTAGTGAGTTTTGTTTATGGGAGATTTAATCTCTCAACAGTTTTAGTATTTTTCTTTATATTAGTTTTCATATAATAATATTAGTTTTTAGTATAAGTTTTTGTCATCTAATTTATCAATCATATTATTTGCAATTGTAAGTTTCCGCATGACGCCCTAATCACCCTTCAGAATCCAACACTAGCTATGGATTAAATTGACTTAACAATGGATAAGATTTCATAGCAAACAACAAAAATCTCATTCTAATTCCATTTAGCTATGAATTAGAGAAGGATTATGATAAAATTTATTTAGTTAGGAGTTATTTAGCTACGAATTAATTGAGGATTACTGATAAATTTTGTAGCTAATTTGATTATTTGATGTTCTTTAGTAGTGATAATAACAAAGCAATATATTAAGATTTGTCCTGAATTTCCTATTATTTGGATTCTTCACAATTGTGTTTTATTTCAAAAATATATATTAGGTCCAAAGGTTTTCTTGTTGGAAAAAAGCTCTTTTATATATATATATATATATATATATATATATATATATATATATATATATATATGTTTATCCTTTTCTTAGAGAAGAAATTTTGAACGTTTATAAATAGAAGATCCTTTATTCTCATACAAGAATATAATAGCATAAAAATGTAGTCATGTAGAGTAGTTGTTTAAAGAGTTGTTTAGAGAGAAATTTGACTAAACTCATACGTAAAGTCCTTTTTTAAATACTTCTTGTCTTCGTTCAAGGTTTGCAATTATTAGATTGTGTATGACGTCCTTATTATTTCAATCCCAACAAGATTCCATAGAGTGGAGTTTGAAGAAGGTAGAATATATGTAGACCTTACAAAACTCTTCATAGGTTGGGATTTAAATGTAATTATGATAGTTTTTTTTTAGTAAAAATTTATTAACAAATCAGTAACTGATTTTATTTTATTTTTCGATTTGGCTCAATTTGATCTAATTTGTTACAACCCTAATTCCAGGATCTATTCACATGTACCAAGTATATATATGTGGACCTTGAACAATTTTATGTCAATCATTGGGCCTCTCTCACTTTCTCTGTGATACTCTATAAAACGAATATTAAAAAATGAAGCCCATCTAGACCTATCAGATTGAGAAGAATTCATGTCTAAGAGAATATATATACCTATAATATATTAACCAAAAAGGCTTTGTGAGATGTGGAGAAGTCTATAAACTTTGTGAACCTTCATATATAGTATAATGTTTTTGTTTGAAAAATTCAACTATATTAAAGAGCTCAGGCCAGCCAGTTTGGATTGAATCTGTCACGTAAGCTTATATTTTAGACTTCATATGTTTCACATTCACCAATTAATTATTTTATGTTAAATAGATTGAAATGATGAACCTTGTGCTTACTTTTGTTATAAGCAACACATATTTTTACGAGGAAAAACAAATAAGTTCAAAATGGATGGCGTAGATTGACTTTTAGTTATATATTTTAATTGTGATTTATTAGTTTCTTGAAAATGGAATAGAATTTAGGGTGTTCAAATTTTGAATAATATATTATTATTTTTAAAAAATAAAATAACTCTATAATGATTGATTCAATCTTTGCATGCTCTGTATACTTCTGCATTCAATTGCGAATATGACATCGTGTAAGTTTTGTGCATATCTTTGTGACTACACTAGCTACAAGTCTCATTGGTTCTAAGAAAGTTCAAAATAATATATAAATAAAGTAAGATTTGACTTAAATATGCTGTAATTTTTTTTGAGGAGGAATGTCTAGTTGAACACCGTAACACCAACGTAGCTTCGCCCCCTGGTGTAGGTTAAATTTACAAAGCGTCAAAAGTTTCATATCCAAACCTTCATGGAATTGAGGGAACACTTTCACTAGACACAAATTTAAACTTAGTCCGATCGAGTTCCCAACACCAACTTTGAAAAAAAAAGAAAAAGAGTTTTCTTAGTTCTTTATCTTTTGACAAATAATTTGAAAAATATGACAATTAAAATTAAAAGTAAAAGGAGTGACTATTAGTTGCCAAATTTCAAGAAGCCTATACCATAGTGTCAAAGACACTTGGCTTAAGAAATAGTATGCAACGTAAGCCCCTAATTCCTGGGAAACAAAGAAACGAAGAAGATGTCAACATTCACTTACCCCAATTTTCCCTTCTCTCTCAAAGAAAATATGCAGCAAAAACAGGGACTTCTCAACTGTCAATTCCCCATTATGTGGACATCAAAAATTTCTCAAGAATAACATACTCAATTTCCCCTCATTTTCTACTCCTAAATCTGTCCAATCCATGAATTTTCACAGTTAGGTTGAATTTCTACGTCCAATTAGTCTTCATTTGCTTGAAAATCTTGAATGGGGTTTGTTGTTTCTTCCCTCTCCGCCTGAATTTTCGTATTGATCAAAATTCCTCTCTAATCTTAATCAAACTTCTTCTCCTTTACTTCTCTGAATATGGCTTCTCTTTCTCATTTCCTCTATCAAAATTTGTTTTTGCCGCTGGCTACTGTATTTGCCTTTGTTTCCCTCTATTTGTCTCCTCTGTTCAACTCCATCACCACATTTGTCCACAGGTATTTTAATTATTAGTCGCTTCCTGTTAATCAAGATTCAATTTTTTTTCCAATACCCTTTCTTTTTTAATTTCATATCTTTGAATCACACAGATTAAGGTGGTGTAAGGCTCCATTAAATAAGAATTCAGGTTTTAAAGATGACTATAAGAGAGTATATGATTTTCCAGAAACAGAGCAGCAGTTGGGTTATGAATCTGATGTTTTTAAGGATGTTTCCGAATTCCCAAATTCAGAGACGAAGGAAACAGAGTTTAATTTTACATTTAAATTCCCAACCTATGAAGAATTTTGTAAAAGCAAGGAAGACAAAGTTGAATTTGTTAGCTCTACATTTAACATCAAATCGCTAACAAAAGCAGAGGTTGTTGAAACAGAGGATTTGAAAGAAGTTCATAGTAATATCGAGGTGATAAATGAGGAAGACAAAAAAGGGGATTTGAGTAATTTAGAGTGTGATGAACATGAAATAAATGAGGAAGAAAAAGTGGATTTGTGTAATTTAGAGTATGATAAAGACGAAACGGAGAAAACAGAGGAAATGAATTCCATGGAAGGAGAATCAGATACTCGAAAAGAGCAATTTCTGAAGGAACTAGATTTTACTGATGATTCTCTGTTTCAATCTGAAAAGGATTCTATATCTACTGATTCTGATACTGTATCAATTGGTTTTGATCATATCTGTTATCTGATGAACAAATTAGTCGATTCGTATAGTGATGGATTCTTGACAGATGAAGACTTTGGAGGCGAATTTGAACTTGATAGTGTAAACGATCTTGAAATATCAGAGGAAAATCAAGTATCTGATGCTGATGATAGTGATAGTGATATAATGGAAGAGCTAAGGGAATTAGAACAAGATCAAGCACCGCAATTTTTATCCGAGGATGATTTTCATGAAAATTCTTACAAGCTATTTGGTGATTCCGAGGACTCTGAAAATGTCGAGTCAAGAAATGGCGATGTAAATAATTTGGAAACGTTATGGGAACATCAAGAATTGATGGAACAATTAAAGTTGGAACTTAGAAAAGTTATAGACACGGGACTTCCCACTATTTTGGAAGAATCAGATACGCTAAAATGGGAAGATTTGGAGCCATGGAAGATTGATGAGAAGTTGCAACGCGAAGATTGTATGAGTGAACTTCATAAGTTCTACAAGAGTTATAGAGAAAGAATGCGCAAATTCGACATATTGACGTACCAGAAAATGTATGCAATAGGTCAGTAACAACTCTTCATGCATTACATTATTTTCAAGTTTTCTTCATAATTACCATGAAAAACATCATTCCTTTTTCTTTTGGTGTTCAGGCTAGCTTGAACGTATTTTTTTTTTAAATTTCATTAGGTAGTTGTTTTCTTATATCATCATAGGTGGTACTAGATAAATTTGATAACCAAAGCTTAAACGTATTAAAAAAATCACTTGTAAGTTTTTGTCTCTTATGATATTTGAACCTTAGTCTCCCATGGCTTTAAGCTAGTTCATTGGTTTGGGTAAATTATTGACCGGCAAGTAACTAAAGCTTAGGACGATAGGAAAATAAATTCACTTTAGTCTAAACTACAATTTGTCATGATTTTAACTCATCTATCACTAGATCACACCGTTGAATGCTGGAAAGATATCATTCCTTTTCGTTGCTTTATTAGTTGGTGAACATATTATAATTGGTTGTTATTCATGGCCATCTTCATATTTCTTTGAAAGTAATTACGTTAAATGAATAGAACAGCTAATCTTTAATCATTCAAAAGTTTATAACCATGATCCATAAAATCTGGTTAGCTCTGCTGTCCAAACTCAGTACAAAATGAAATTTAAAGCATTGAATAAATGATGTATACCAACAAACAAATGCAGGCACGTGCGAGCGAAAAGATATTACGTCAAAAAATGATTTTTAGTAGCAATTAATTAATAGCAATAGTGACATTGGATCTAATGACAACTAAGTAATGCCTTAATGTGTATATTTATTGCTGCTAATAGTTAATTTTGTTGTAGTCATACTTCCCTATTTTTTTTATCCACTATGTGAAAAAAATATTCTTATATAAACATTACACTAATATTTTTACTTTTTGCATTAATCCATTTTTAAAAAGAGATATTTTATAAATTTTACAGGTTATCTACAGAAAGATCCACTAAAAGATCCATTTCAATGTGTGTCAAGGCAAAGACGTTCAGGTCCAAAACTAAAATCTCTTATTTCACAAAATATTAAGCTATTCAAACACAAAAGGCATAATGACAATATTGACCCTATGATAAAGTTTATCAAAGAATTGCAGAGTGATCTTGAAGTGATATATGTTGGACAAATGTGTCTTTCTTGGGAATTTCTACATTGGCAATATGGAAAAGCTTTAAGTTTATGGGATTCTGACCCTCGTGGTGCTCATACGTACAATGAAGTTGCTGGAGAATTTCAACAATTTCAAGTTCTTATACAAAGATTTATAGAAAATGAACATTTTCAAGGGCCTAGAGTTCAATATTACATCAAGAGTCGATATGATCTTCGTAATCTTCTTCAAGTTCCTCTCATAAGAGGTAAGTGTCTCAAAAGAGTTTAAGTTGTGTATACTGAAAGTGTAAAAACACGATTAACTGTCATTCTTATAAGTAACATGGTTTTATATTATCGATACATAAAACTTAAACTCGATTTGGGCAGAGGACAAAGACAAAAACAAGGGTAGAAGTAGAGAGAAAGATGAATATTGCATTACAAGTGACATGTTGGTGGAGATAGTGGAAGAATCAATAAGAATATTTTGGCAATTTGTTATAGCTGATAGATATTGCTCAAGCATGATGGTGAAGGGTAAAAAGGGAACACAACATCAAGAGCTTATTAAAGACTTGGGAGATTTAGAGCTTTTAATGGAGGTCCAAAAAAGTCTTGGAAAGGTAAATTCTTAGTTTTCAATTGATTCTCCTTCCGTTCGTCCTATTTTAACTGTTACTTTAGCTTTTTTTCATGCTCATTAAGAAAATAATAATTATAAGGTATAGTTTATTAAGTTATCTATTTTTTCTCTCTTAAATATTTTAGGTACTTAAAGTTAAGAGTATACTTGAAATCAATTACTATCAACTTTAGTAGTAAATTTCTAAAGTGACAATTATTTTGACATAGTTTCTTGAGGTGAAACGACAATTAAAATGAGATGTAGGGAGTATTGTTGAGAATGTAACTTAAACTAACCGTGTAAAGAATTTTTACATTATTAATGTATCTTAACATGATGTAATAGATAACTCGACTTATTTTTCGTACATACTAGTCTCACTTGTGCTAGATGGTTATCCGTAAGTGATCTGATAGTGTAAAAAATCATTTATTTTGTCGACTATCGAGGTTAAGGTCATTGTCTAATTATTGTTATGGAATGCAGAAAGAGAAGAAACTCAAAGATGGTTTGAAAGGTGAGTGTTGCATATTGAAGAGGTTCAAGAAGAACAAAGCAAATGATTCAGATCAAGTGTTGTACTTTTTCTCTCAAGTGGACATGAAATTAGTTACTAGGGTTCTTAATATGTCCAGGCTAACAACAGATCAACTAGTGTGGTGTCACAATAAATTAAGCAGCATTAGTTTTCTGCATAGGAAAATACATGTAGATCCTTCTATTTTGCTCTTCCCTTGTTAATAGTAGTCCTTATTTTTATAGCTTTTTTTTAGGGTTTATTATGAGCATATGTCATCAAGGTCATATTTTGTAGAAAATGTGATGTTCTTTACTTGAGGTTGTTAGAGTGCCATTTTTCCTAATAAGACAAAACCAAGAGACTTGTGTTTGGGAAAAAAAAGTTGTAAAAATATTGTCAAGAATGGGATTTGAACCCATGCCCTTTCGGACCAGTACCTGAAACTGGCGCCTTAGACCAACTCGGCCATCTTGACTTTGTAATTTATTATCAACACGTTCTTATAGTATTGTTTCTAGATCTATTAATGTTACTATAAACTAATTAAACCAAGGGGAAAAGGCTTGATATACCCCTCAATTTTGTCATTTGGAGTTGATATGTCCCTCGTTGTGAAAGTGGCTTATATATACCCTTACCGTTATACAAACGGCTCACATATACCCCTACCGTTATAAAATGAGCACACATATACCCTTCATTCAACGGAAGTTAAAAAATATTAGTTTTAAATATATATTTTTGACTTTTAATTTTAAAAAAATTCATGTAGGAGTATATATGATCCTTCTAGCAAAGTTCAAGGTATATTCTATTTTTTTTCATACATAAATTGTTTTTTGACTTCTTTGATTATCATTATTTGAGTTTATTATTCTTGTTTTATTTTTTTCTTTCATTCCTTAGTGTAAAGAAAAAAATTTAAAACTATTTTTTTTTGTTGCTATATTATAATTTAAAACTATTTTTTCGACAATAGTGTTACTTTAGTTCATTAGTTGTATTTGAAAAAAAAAATGGGTCATCTATAGTAAATTTTACAAGAAAAATAGTGAAACATAAATAAATTTGACCATCAAAATAATAAATTTAAATTAGTCATTGAAAAAAAAAATGTGTATGAGGAGGATTGAATATACCCATATGGGATTATATTATTTTTTAAAAATAATTAAAATTAATTTTTTCACTTTCGTTAGAGGAAAAGGGTATATGCAAGTCATTTGTATAACAGTAGGGGTATATCAACTCTAAATGACAAAATTGAGAGGTATATCATGCATTTTCCCCTTAAATTAATATATAAGTAATTTTTAATTATTTACACATTTGATAAATGCAAAAATTACTTATTAGTCGATATCGATTATAAGTTTCTCACTTCAACTTGAGTAGGTGTTTGGCCATGCGATACCATATCACGATATGGAATCGTGAGATGGAATCAGCGTTTGGACATGCGATTTTACGCTGATTTCATTTCATGATTCCATATCATGATATGTGATTCCATATTCTCCAAAAACCATGATATGGGAATTCCATATCATGATTTGAGATATTTTTAATATAAAAATTGATCCACAAGTTTATAATTTGTTAAAACAACCCCACATTTCTATCTACTAACAATTTATTTCATATGTAAATAAAATTTATAATCACATCATTACTTTTTAAAAATTTATTATTCTTGCGGACATAAAATTTATTATTCTCACCAATAAATAGTCACTTTAACTCACACCAACCGATTGTTGAGTAATAAATTTGCGAGAATACCAAAGGACTGATGAAATATTTATGGTCTATGAGCATGAAAATATAATTGCGGATGATATTGACCAACAAATGGCTCAAAGTAACAATGTTGGTTCGTCTTCTCGGTCACATGATTGGAAAATGCAAGTTCAACTTGAGGAAATTGTTCGTACGATGTGGGAGGATTATATTAAAGACTAATACACTACAATGTTCAATTTTTTTTTATTATTGAGTTAAAGTTAGATGAATCAGTTACTTAAGTGGAGAACAAATAGCTTTGTAATAATTTATTATGCGATTTTATAATTTTTTTGTATATTTGGTAAGATTGAATAAACAATTGGGGCTATTTTAATAGTTTTACAACTTATGGGATTCTTATGTTTATGAGAAAACGTACAACACAAAAATTTCATATCGCATGTCCAAACAAAACTTCAATTTCATCTCACAATTCCATATTATGATTCCATATCATGATACCATATTGCATGGCCAAACGGGCCCTAAGATTTTACTCGTTAATAGCATTCTTTTTTGTTGAAAAAATTACTGAAATACACATCTTATGTTTTCCTTATTTCTAATATTCCCATCTATTTCTAAAAACCTCTAAAATCTCTCTCTCCTAATTCTAAATTATTTTATAATGTATCCGAGCTAGTTTTTAATGTATCTGAGTTATATATTATATATCCAGTTTATTTTATAATGTATCCGAGCTACATATTATGTATCTAATTTATTTTACTTTTTTAGGGATTAATGTAATTACAAACTAAATAGGGATAGATTGTAATTTCATATTAAAACTATATGATTGCTAAAATTTATACTTCGTTGTTTTACCAAACTTTTTATGACTTTATTCCTAACATCTTGCAATTTTCAAAGTACTCTTCTTTAAATAACTTATTAATTTTCCACATTCTATTTTCTTCATTCATCCTTTGTTATGCAAAAATACTTTTACACTTCTATCTAGTTTAGGAAATTAGGTCATTTTAATAGAAAAGATGTTTATCAGCACCATTTTACCAAGCATACTTCACCATATTTATCAATTTCAATACTTATATAAGAGTCGCGAAGTACTTCTCAGCCTTCCAAGGAATTTGTATAAATACTATGCACACGTCGTGTAGATATATATGTAAGAGAAGAAATAAGAACCTTATTATAAATTGATGCAAAAGAATTTCAAGGATTACTCATTTTGTCCTCCTTCAATGGTGACTTAAATACTTTACAAGTGATACATTCTGCTGGCAGCATATCCATGTAACATGCTCATTGCTCGCACATTTCCGCTTTTCGATACAGATTGCTGTCAAAAACTCTTCAATTGTCATGAATCTTTTTCCTCTAATGCTATGCTCAACTCCAAGTTATCGTTGCCCCTACGGATTTTTAACCGAACTTCATCACCTATGTTATAGTTATCCAGGGCTTTATACAAATCTGCTTTACTCCTAACCTGCAACAGCATGAAATGTGTGCATCTCAGAAATACAGAATTGCTTAGAACAAGGAGGAACAAAAATCAATCATTGTTAGGATGATTCAAATTCTAGACCTGCAGGTCGGAAGCCTAGTCGATGTTCATATCATCAAATTTGCACTAACAAAAAGCTTGCGATGTAACATAAAACAGAAAGTCAGAAATTACTTACAGGTTTGTCATCCACTGCTTCAATAATATCGCCAAGCACTATATTTCCTGCAAAACCCCTGGTAGTAGGAAGAAGTCCCGCTTTTGCTGCAGGACTATTTCCAGGTACCTAAATAGAGCAGGAATAGATTCAGACAAAAGAGATATCGTGAGTTTTACTCTGAAAGATCCTGTCTCCCCACTCCCAGGGTCATAATGACAGAAATGTACCAGCAAAACCAGTGCTCCATTTCGAACATTAAGTTGGTTGGCAATCAGGTCTGGAGCGATTTCAATATTCAAACCAGCACGAAGAACCTGACATGCATAAGACATACATATACGAAAATAAATGACCACTATATTTCAACTGAGAATATGAAGCAGTATTCGCCAATACAAGATGAGATGGTCTGTAACAAAATGCAAATGAAGAGAATTCGGGAAAACCAGGAAAAGAAGCTGACAAGAACCAAGACACGAACTAATAGAGCAACATTCATACTTTTCCAGATTGAATCAACTGGGGCACAACTCTCAACACAGTTGAAGAAGGGATTGCAAATCCAACACCTGCTGATGTCCCTGTTGTACTGAAAAAGAGTAAGTAATAGCAGGAGAGGATAAACTTTGAACATTCATTTCTTGTCATCTCCTCTCAATCTTCCGTCTAACACACACCACGATGGAAAAACTATTCACCTGTCTGAGTAAATATTGCAGTGTTGATCCCAATCAAGTTTCCTTTTGAATCTAACAAAGGACCTCCGCTGGAAAGGTACACATATTTATTCACAGAACAGCAGTTGAAAAAGAAAAGGGCAAAAGAGACCTTTAATGATTATCAGCATCAGAGGGAATGCATTTGTTACCAAGGGAAGTACAAGTTCAGAAAAATAAACCTGTTGCCAGGGTTGATGGCTGCATCTGTTTGAATTCCTCCACCAATGGTCACTCCAGTTTGACTATATATATCTCGATTCAGTCCACTGATAACCCCAACAGTGAGTGTATGATCAAACCCAAAAGGATTTCCAATGGCTAAACATTGCTGGCCAACTCTCAAAGAAGAAGATTCACCAACCCTTATTGGCCTCAACAAGTCTTCAGAAGCTTCCACCTTGCATTTCAAGATGTGAAGTCATAAGGTGTTAAAAAGAACAAAAAAAGAAAATGCCAAAATGCACATCACCAATTTCTATGCTGTATGTAAGTTCCTCAAGCAAATAGAACTTCTAAATATATTGATCCCATACGAGTGTAGAAGAAAAACAAAAAATAGGGCATACGCCTCTTTCCTGGATGTGTAATCACGTAATGCAAATAATGCACTGGGATTATTTTCCTCCATAGGAAATATGATAATACCAGCCTCACCCCATACAGCTGCTCCACTCAGTTTTCAAATTAAAGCACTATGCATTACAGTGTTATTCTCACCATATCTAACCACCTATCTCTCTGACACTCTTTTGCTCTATATCATATATTGCAACTCATCTCATCCCACCACTATCCCGCTGTAAGATTGCTCCACGAACATCTAGATGCCTTCCATCTCACCTTTTTGAAAGATAAGCAAATTTTCTGTGGAATCTATGGACAAATAGGTTGATCTTTTTGTTCTGTAAGAATTGACTGAAGTTGTTTCTGGTAACTTTTTTTTGAGTTGTAGTTGTTTCTGGTAACTTTAAAATGATCATCAACCATTTCAAGTAAAAAGACAATCACAAGAGGTGGAGGTGGAAGTGAGGATCAACACACAATTCATCCCCAAGAGAGGAAGCTTCAAGTATAAGGATGTGGGGAGATAAATGATGATGTCACACATCGTAATGGAGAGGCATAGATGAAATGGAGGCTCGCATCTAATGTCCTATGTGATAAGAATGTGCCACCAAGACTTAGAGGTAAGTTCTGCAAAATGATTATTAGACCTTCTATGTTGTATGGGGCAAAGGGTTGGCTAGTCAAGAACTCGCATGTTCAAAGGATGAAAGTGGGGCAGATGAGGATGCTTAGATGGATGTGTGGGATACTAGGAAACATTCAATTAGGAACGAAGATATGTGGGACAAGGTGGGAGTGACGTCCGTAGGGGACAAGATGAGGGAAGCGAGGTTGATATGGTTTGAACATATGAAGAGGAGGAGCACAAATGTCCGGTGAGGAGGTGCGAGAGGTTGGCAATGATAGGCTTAAGGAGAGGTAGAGGTAGACCGAAGAAGAATTGAGAAGAGATGGCATATCTTCAGCTCACCGATGACATGACCTAGATAGGAGAGCATGAAGATCAAGGATTAGAGTAGAAAGTTGGTAGGTAGTAGTGTTATCTCTCTTTCTTGTGGGAGAGCATGGCTCTAGCTTGGAGCAACTTATCTACTCCTATTCTCCTTTTCAATAGTATTATTATTATTATCTAATTCTTCAATTTTATCACTACAATTGATTCTTTTGCTTTGGTTATCTTACTGTTTGTGTTGTCAATACTTCTCTTTTCTTCGTATTTTAGTTTGGGCTTCTTTCGCTCTAGTATTTTTCAAACCTATTTTTAAAATGCTTTTCTTGAATCGAGGGTCAATCGGAAACAACCTCTCTACCTCACACAAGGTAGGAGTAAGGCCTGCATACACTCTACCCTCCCCCGACCCCACTTGTGGCATGTGGGATCACACTCGGTATGTTGTTGTTGACAATCACAAGTCTAGTAAAAACTCAAGCTACACCTTTCACTGCTTAGTGATACCAATGAAGAAATAGAATGAACAAATCAGATCAAATATTGGCTCATTTGCAACCATTATCATACATTCTAATATGTGCCAGCAGATCCTTAAATTGCTTGCTGAAGAATACAATTTAATGAGAGCATGACCTAAAAGTTGAAGCTGGACATTTACTTGGATTATCAGATAAAGAGAGATAGAGACAACAGGGAAAAGAAAAATGCAATAGGAAAAAATGACAATCAAACTACAGATATAAGAGATGAGAACAAGATGACATAACTAAAGCAAATGTAGCCCATGAACTTAAGAATTTTCCAGATTTTGACAAAATAGGATTCTGGAAAGTGGAAATAATGCTTACCTTCAACACAGCAAGATCCTTGGCACGGTCTGCACCAATTAATATACCCTCAAAATTCTTTTGCACCCTTCAGAAAGAAACAAAATAAATTAAAGAGAGTGAAGGCATAAGATGGAGAGCCATTAAGTATATGCTGAAAATGAATACAACTCACCCATCTGCAGCGAGAATATTAACGCGTGCAACTACTTGCCCACGGCTTGGGTTTCTAGAAAGGGAGCTACCAATCACTGGACATATAAAGAAAACTGTTTAACCAAGAATTGCACAGCCCATCCAACACACTGAAATTGGTTTTTGGGGTCATAGAATTCAATTCTATTTTTTAGATGAAGCCTTTATTAGACTCCTAAATGTAAGAAAAATTGATTTCCGACTTCACACCAAAACTTAGACAATTTGATTCTCAGACTCTGAACCCCATCCTTATGGGGATGCAGGAAGTATATTACACAAATAACTAATGCACTCAGGTACCATATTTGAAGTGATCTTACCATGATAATTAGTAATAATGTGGCCTTCTTTGTCCCAAATAACCCCCGAACCATTTCCTTCAGGAATCTGCCATTGTTTAAACATACTGAATGTAGTTGCTTTCAAACATAGATTATTTATCAAAGGACAAAAAGTGTGTTGGTTGAGGCACCAAATGGATGAAGACAAAAAATCCATGGACATGAGAAACTTTATTTTCAAGACAGTACCAAAGCTAAATTACCAAAAAGTTTGATAATCATGATACTGAAAATGGAAAAGTAAATGCTTGCACGTGTCTATAAAATTTACCTCAACCATACCAGTAACATTAAGCGTCGGTCTCAAGGTTACATCAAATATGTTGACAACACAGTAAGTGTTCTTCTCAAAGAGCTCAACAACTCTTTCCTGCCAATTAGACATGTACCAGATAAACGGTGATCTATATATCAGAACATAACAAAAACAATAAAGAATAAGCTGAGTAGGTGATGATACTGAACCTCGGAAGGGAAAAGTGCTGCAGAAGGAAAAGTAGTAGGTGTAACTTGTTCAACTGTGACAGACGGATCCCCCAAAGCAAGTGCTGCATATCATATAGTATAGTAGTTTACATGGTTAGAACTTAGAATCCAAATAAAGGACGAAAACTCAATAACTGATAAGGAGGAAGCAAATTCATCATGAAGCTTTGTATTTTTTCAGTAGCCAACCACACAAGAATAGGGTTTTGCTCATTGGGGACTATGGGGAGAGAGCTAGCTCAGTTGCATAACCACAGTTGGTTTCCCTGTTACTATAAGCAATAAACTATACCTCTAGTTGGATGGAGTCGATATACAAATTCTCTATATCCATTCCACTCAATTAAAGCTTTATTTTAGTACTTTCATAAGGTTTATCACTATGTTATACTAACCTACCGTAAACACTCCTCCTTTTCCTGGTAGTGAGACAGGCTATGTTTTGGAAGCTCACAAACAACCAATATCTTTCTCAAGCAAGAAAATTCAGAACACAATGTAAGGAGCTGAAAATGCCAAATATATGCATTAATTTGGTTAAATGTCTTAAGAGATATGTGACTACAAAACCCAGATCAATCCAACAATTGTGAGGCCCAACACAGAATTCAAGTGCTGGCTTTTCAAAGGCGACAAGTAAAAAAAAAAGGAAAAGAAACAAACAGTAAGAACGTGCGAACCTGACAGGTACCTTGAAGGATGATAAAGTGAATACATGAAAAAGCTTGTTAACAACATCCTCCGTGTGGCAAAAGAGAAGCTTTTCCGTAGTTGCTCAATCAAAGAATTGCCATTATCTCCACCAATCCTGTGACACAACGAAAAAAAAAGGGTCATGAAATCATGTGTTAATACAAATATTGAGTGAGTACTTAATTTTAATGAGCAACCTCTTAAGTTTAAACTGATAGATACCAAACTTTGAAAGTATCCTTCAACAAAAATTTTGACTTCACCACTCATGACCCATTTTTTTCATTTAAATGGTATACATATTCATCTAATTAGTCAAAAATCTTGTCATTTTTGCTTATTAAACTCATTGTACAGTAAAATGTAGGGAGTCCTTTAAGTCTAAAAGGATAGATTATATGCGTACCTGGGAGTGAAAGCAGAGGTAGATGGAGTAGAAGTAATGGGATCAGCAGAGCAGACAGAGGAAATGCTATCGAAGCAGAGCTCTCGACGGCCCAAAAATACAGAGTTATTGAGAATGGCTGGTTGATTTGTATGCGGGTGAAACGGTGTTTTTGCGTTAGATGATACTATTATCACTTCCATTTTATTATTATTCAATGGAAGCTTCAAAATTGGGGAAGAAGAAAGCAGAGAGCAGATAAAGAGTTGGGACTCAACTGGGATATTTCTTCTCCTATTCCTCTCTCTATATTTTACTCTCTCCCTTCACTTTTACTATAGGCAATAGCTGACCTATCTACTTTACTACTTACTGTTGGGAGGAGTCTCGAATTCGAGTTTTAGATATATTGGTGTTCTAATGCAAATTTCGGACACGGCACGGGAAACTGCCAGCCTCAACTTAGGAAAAATCGTACCCAAATAAAACATAGGAAACAATAAACTACTCCACTTTATGGGTGAAAGTTTGATTGCCCAGATTGTAATCCTCTCTCCATTTCTCCTTCCTCTACCCAAAATCTTTTTAAAAAAAACCCCATTTTTTTTAATAAAATAGGTTGAGTAAAAATGCTTCTATTCATAATCAAGGTAATAAATAATATCCCACTTATAATAGAAAAACACAACTTATGCGTGGAATAAGAGTTTGTTTGGCTTAACTTAAAAAAAGTAGTTTTAAAAAAATTAAACTTTAGTAACTTTTAAGTAAAAAAATGAATTTTAAAGTCATTTTAAACTTATTTTTAAGTTATTTTTAAATTTGTCGAACACTCCCAAAAATTAAAAATAATTTAAAAGTAGGTTTAATCAACTTTTAAGTCAATCCAAACAGGCTCTAAGTCATAATGTGAGTTGGTTTGCTTTTTATTCTTTTGTTTGTAAAGAAAAAAAACAATCAAGTTTTTTCTTCTTCATCTACCTCTGTTTTTATATCGATAATATATCTCTCTTTTTTTTCAGTATAATTTAAAGTGATTTTTTTAAGTACAATCGGTTTTGGCTCGAAAAGCTGATAGTAAAAGGTTAAAAGGTGGTGTTTGCAACAAAATTTAAAATGATAGAAAATAAATTATAATTATAAAAAAATATGAAAAATAAAATAGTTTGTTGATAAATAGTGCGGTTACAATTCCTTTTCTTTCTTGATTCTTCTCTCTCTTAATATTTCTCCATGATTCGAGTGTCTTTAGTGGCGTATTATGATTTAGATTTCTCCGTGAGGGTCGTTAGTGACGTATTTCTCGAACTATGATGATTTGAATCTGATCTCTTTATGAATATTTCATAAATTTGCGTATTCAATATGCCTCTTGAAAGGAGTATAATACCTTTAAATAGGCATAAACTAGGGTTCAGGACTAAAATAGCCTCCAAAAATTCTAATTGAAATCAAATACATCTTGTAGAGTCCCCACTAGAATTGAACATGTCTTACAAGTTACATGGTCTCACAAATTTTTAATATCTTTAGTTGGGTTTCTTTTTGTTTTCTATTTAGTTTCTTTAGAATATATTCATCATAAATCCTATTGCTTAATCATTAAAGTATGAAATTTTACCTTTTTTATGAAATTTATATGAAAATTTATGCAATTTATGTCACTAAGTGGTGTTCAAAATTACTCGCATTACAGATACATTATGCAATTTTTTTATTTTTTTTTAACTGGTGTTTGATATTTATATTAAAAATCGATTAAATTTAAATTTATATTGAAAAGTTTCATATTAGAGATTAATTAGTCACTAACAAAGGTGACTCGTAGCCAGGGGCAGATCTATGGGTAAGGGAGAGGGTGCCACGGCACCCAGTGAACTCGGTTGAAACTTCGTATGTATATATATAATATATATTACATTTGCCACCCCCAGTAACAAGTACGTGCATGGTGCCAGTGGTGAGAGGTCATGTGTTCGGCTTCATTGTAAAATCGTATGCTGCATTTTCCGTTTCTTTTGCCAAAAAGGCTCCAACAAAGATTCGAATCCACAAAGCATTATTATTAGGAGTCCGGAACCAAAAGAGCAAAAAAAATTGCGAAAAGGGCACATCATATTTTTTTAAAACCAAAACGGCAAAATCGCTCCTGCTGGAGCGATTTTCCCCTGACACATATTAACGCCGTGCACTCCGTTAAAATAAAATCGCTGTCAGGGCAGCGATTTTTGTCCAAATTTATTTTTCTTTTTTTTCACTAAAATCGCTAGCACAACAACGATTTTTTAACTCTAATTTTTTTCCTCCACCTAATATCGCTACTATGGCAGCGATTTCATAAAAATAAAAAAAATTGGCAACTTTTTTGTAAAAACTTTTTTTTGGAAAATCGCTGCCCTGGCAACATTTTTCTTAATTTTTTTTTAAAGTTTTATGAAAGAACAATATTTTTTTAAAAAAATTGCTGACAGCGAGCCTGATTCCATCCAAAAATTTGGATTCGACGTAGAAATCATCAAAATGAGGCACGAACTTTAATCGGTGTCGAATTAGGCTGCCTTTTCAGCGATTTTTGTTAAAAAAATTATTTTTTAATAAAAACACTGCCTTATTTTCAAAACGAAAAACGATTTTAAAAAAATAAAAATTGAAGAGAAACGAATTTTAAAAAAAAAGAAAAAAATTTAACTAAAAAAACTGTCAAGGCAACAATTTTCAGCCATTTGACAACTTTTTTACAAAAATATATATATATCTTGAAATCGCTGACTTGGCAGCGATTTTTGTAGAAATATTCTTTTATTTTATTTTATTTTTTGAAATTTCTGTCAACTAGTCAACATCTGATGGTAAATTTCTTCTCTTTTTTTTTTAAATCGCTGCCCGTGCAGCGTTTCTGCGATTTTCGTTAATGTTTTTTTTTTAAACGTTATTATAAATTTTGTGGAAATTTTATCTTTTTCTAGAAATCGCTGCCTACGGTGGAATTTTTTTTATAAATATCGCTGCCAATTATATTTTTTTTAAATCGTATTAAATTTATTTTTTGTCACTAACTTACAGCGAAATTTCCTTCCAAATTTCTTGTTTTTTAATTGTTCAAACATTCACATGTCATATTTTTTTAAAAAAAAATCCAACTCAAATGCATGCCTAAAAAATAGAAAAAGTTCACGTGTTTCATTTAAAATTTTCATATAAATTGGTTGAAGTCTCCCTTCAAACTTCAAGTATAATTTTTCAACTCTCCTTTCAAACTTTTTCAAAAGTCTTCCTGTATAAGGTAAGTTTGGACTTATTTTATTTTTAATTAATTAATTTTTAACTTTTATATGGTATTGTGAATATATTCATCTTTAAATAATTATATTAACACTAACACTTATTTTTATATTTTGTATATAGATATGCATCCATCAAATATGTACGTACATCCTGGTCCAATGGAGTATGATGTATTAAAAATTCAAGTTCATCATCGTTTCGAAGGAATTTGGAATGGTAGCTTAAGGAAAGAGAATTCTTGCGTATATACGCGGCGCGGTGATGTTGAATTTTGGCAACATATAAAATATCATCCTCGCATTCGTCGGTATTTTAAAATTTGTAGATTTAAAGGAATTCTTGATGTAGGATGTGTGTCGTATGACAACGGATTAATTTTTGCTTTAATTGAAAGGTGGCGTCCAGAAACGCATACCTTTCACATGCGAACTGCTGAGGCTACCATAACTTTACAAGATATAGAAATTTTGTTCGGAATGGTAATAGATGGTAGTCCTATAATTTTAAATGGCGCTAATACTTTAGGAGTTTTTGGTAGACAAGAAATGATGTTTGAATTAACGGGATGGTCACCCGATAATGATTGTTTTTCTGGTGTTAGTAGATTGTTAACATATAAATTAATTGAGCATATTGAAGGTTTAGATGATATTACTGATCATTCAACTGAGCGTGAGGTGCAACAAAAGTTTAGATTATATTTATTATGGTTATGTGGTGGATCAATATTTCCAAATAAATCTAATAATAAACTTAATTTAGACCTTTTGATTGACATAAAAAATTTAAATGTAATGTCAACACAAAGATGGGGAGCAGCTGCATTATCATATTTGTATAATTGTTTATGTCGTGCATCAATGAAACAATCAAATGAAGTTTGTGGATTTCTCTCTTTAGTGCAGGTATACATTTTTTTAAATTATTTTTTATATACTAGTAATATGCACTTTTAATTTTAATTGTATTCTAAGAAATGTTGAATTTTATTTATTGTAGATTTGGGCATGGGAACGTATTATTCCCCTGCAACCATTACCGAAATCTCTAAGGACCAATCAACTTGAGGATTTAACTGCGCTTGCACGTAAATGGACGCAACGTAAAAATCATTAAAATGAGGCACGAATTGTAATCGGTGTGATTAGGGATGTACTAGATAATCTAATCGATGATCAGGTATTTAAATGTTATTAGTATTTTTAACTATTCATAGTTGTATCCCATTTTATTTAAATTTTTAACTACTCACACTTATATCTCACTATCCAAGAAAATCATGTGAATATAATGACATATACGTAGATTTTTGGTAGGTCCTCAAAATAAGATATTATATGACAAATAGTACAAAAAAAATATTTCATAAGATTGTTTTAGTTAGTGTACATATTTGTTTTTATTTTTTTGTCAAAAAAATTTAATAATTATCTTACTTACATTTTTTTTATAGTTTATTTGGCAACCTTATTCAGAAGATGTTATTAATGGATTGCCTGAGTGGTGTCGGTCAGGACAATCTGTCTGGATGGCACATGTGCCACTTATTGATGAAATTTATCATGAATGGCACATGATTGATCGTGTTGTGAGACAGTTTGGTTATTTACAACATATTCCTGAACTGTGTACCCAGTTTTTCGAACATCATTTTAAGCGTGATAAATGATCCAAAATAAAACAAGAGGATATAGATGCGTTTAACTACACACAATATTTATGGGAACAACGTCAAAATCGTATTTTTCGACCTCCATTTGTAAGTGATCAAGCAGATTACTTTCGTTGTTACATGAGGCATTCCCGCATGTTCATTGGAAATTCACAACATGTTGTACAGAAAGGGTATCAACACATGGCAGGAAGACATGAGGCATTAGTATGTATATTATGTAAATTTTAAATTATTATATTGATCTTGAACAATTTTTTTGTTATTAATATTTTTTTATTCATTATAGGCTAGGGGTCATGAAATGCAGTATCGTCGAGCTCGGATGATTGAAAACGATGAAAATCAATCTAATGAAATGAGACAATATGCGGAGGAAGTCACTTGTATTTCAATGGAGTCAATGAATGTGGCCTTCCAGGGAACGTGATTGAGTCAAACTCTCACATGTAACTAAAGCATATGCAAGTGGGAAAATATTTCTATTGACATCAATCCCAATCGCAATTAACAGTTTCATATCATACAAACCATAAAGATGTGTGCCGTCGATGGAAATGACCGGCCTACAACTTTTGAAACCATCAATGCTCTGTTTAAAAGCCCAAAAAAGAAATTTAAAGATTTGTTCACCTTGCATTGTTGTAGAATGATGCTCCCACTCAATAATAGTGCCTGGATTGAATAATTGTAGTGCAACCATGTATCGAGGTAATGCCTTAAATGAACTTACGAAATCACCATAAACCATTTGAAATGCTTTTCTCCGACCTTTTTGTGCTTTTTTATAACTAGGAGTATAGTGATGCTTTCCTTTGATGATTTCACGGATCATCTTAATATTTATGTCTGGATTTTGCATAACAAATGATATCAATGAAGTGGCAATCATGTTACTATTCAAATTGAAATGATCCTCCTTATAATTATCTGTAAGACAAGTATGCGGTTCAATCATTTTTCCTGCCTTCCATATATCATTTGAAATCTCTCTAAAGCGAATCATCCAATTACACCCCAACTCATGACGCTTGCAAATAACTCTCCAACTTTTACTCTTGGATTGATCACAAAGAAATTCTTTTTTTATTGCAAGACTATATGCTCTTACGGCAGATTTCATTTGCTTCTTATTCATAAATAGCATACCTAGTTGTATATACAAATTAGATTAATCAATAATAAATAAATAAATAACTATAAAATATTTAGTTTGCAACAATCGAACCTGATTGGATATATTTAGGATTGTTCGGATTCCAAAGTGTCGTTCGAATAGAACCATCATCTCTTGTATAGATAAAATCTTCTGCACTTTCTTCAGTGTGATCTAAGTATGGAATCACTGTAGAATGATGATTAATACTTTGATCTTCAACGGGTGCATTAGGTGCATCATCCACATCATCATCATCATCATCATCATCCTCATACATTTCATCATTGTCGGTTAATTCATGCTCCAAAGGTTCATCACTATGCAACTCACCAACTCGTTCTTCACCCATAATATTATTATTCACAATTTGTGTACAATAATTCACTGCATCTTGAAGTTGGTCACACCTATAAAATATAATAATATAAATATATTGCATATTAAAAAAAATTAATTCTAATAAATAAGAAAACATTACATTTTTTACCTATCAGTTGGTTCCGGTTGAAAAGAATTCAAGTGCATGGAAGCATTGCTAGGCTCTCTCATGTAATCTGCCACACTCCAATTCAAATAATGATCATGAATATATAAGACTATTTTTATTTATGATATCGCTACGTCAGAAGCGATATTTTTTTTAAAAAAAAAAGTTAGAGGGGAATTTGGCCGCCCTGACAGCGATTTCCTTTTTTTAAAAAAATTCTTCACTAAAATCGCTGCCAAGGTAGCGATTTCAAAAATTAGATGTTGACTAGTTGATAGAAATTTTAAAAAAAATAAATCAAAAGAATTTTTTTTAAAAAAAAAAATTTCCACAAAATTTATAATAACTGCAACAGCAGCAATTTAAAAACAAATAATTAATGCAAAAAAAATAAAATAAATTTGTTTTTATAATAACACTGTAATAGCAGTGATTTTAATTTTAATTTTTTTAAACAACAAAAATGCTGCACGGGCAGCGATTTAAAAAAAAATAAAAGAAATTTACCATCAGATGTTGACTAATTGACAGAAATTTCAAAAAATAAAATAAAATAAAAGAATATTTCTACAAAAATCGCTGCCTAAAAAAAAACTAGTTCCACCAAGGCAGCGATTTCAAGATATATATATTATTTTTTTTGTAAAAAATCTGTCAAATGGATGAAAATTGCTGCCTTGACAGCTTTTTAGTTAAATTTTTTTCTTCTTTTTTTAAATTCGTTTCTCTTCAATTTTTATTTTTTTAAAATCATTTTTCGTTTTGAAAACAAGGCAGTGTTTTTATTAAAAAATAATTTTTTTTATCAAAAATCGCTGAAAAGACAACTTAATTCGACACCGATTAAAGTTCGTGCCTCATTTTGATGATTTCTATGTCGAATCCAAATTTTTGGATGGAATCAGGCTCACTGTCAGCAATTTTTTTTTAAAAATATTGTTCTTTCATAAAACTTTAAAAAAAAATTAAGGAAAACGCTGTTAGGGCAGCGATTTTCCAAAAAAAGTTTTTACAAAAAAACTGCCAATTTTTTTTTTCTATGAAAACGCTGCCATAGCAGCGATATTAGGTGGAGGAAAAAAATTAGAGTTAAAAAATCACTGTTGTGCCAGCGATTTTAGTGAAAAAAAAAAGAAAAAAAAATTTAGACAAAAATCGCTACCCTGGCAGCGATTTTATTTTAACGGAGTACACGGCGTTAATATGTGTCAGAGGAAAATCGCTCCGGCAGGAGCTATTTTGCCGTTTTGATTTTAAAAAAATATGATGTGCCCTTTTGAAATTTTTGGCAATTTTTTTTGCCCTTTTGGCTCCGGACTCTTATTATTAGGCCATCTGATATCAACTGGTATCAAGTTGTACAAGTAATAAACTTGATTTTGGCTAAACATTTTTTTTGTTGTAATTTTTAGTGATTTTTTTTCTCCCTTTTCTATTCTAAGCATAAAATATATTACGTACTTTCTTTGTTTGAAATTTATGTGACATACTTTCTTTTTAGTCTATTCTCAAAAATGTTATCTTTTATTATTAAAAATAATTTAATTTTAAATTAATATTTTTACTTTAATTAAATAATTTATAGTCACACAAATATTTAAAATTTATTTTAAATGATAAATTTTGAAGGTTGTATTTAGGATGGGGGAGTAGTATTTTCCTTCTTTCAACTAATTCTTTCTAGCTCTTCTCTTTGCCCAAATTTCAGAAACTCGATAATGAGTTTCTCTTACTCTTTGTTTTACTATTTAAATCATTTGGATGCATATGAAAAAATAATTTGGATTATGAAAATTTAAATCTTTAGGTTTTAATTTATAAATAAAATACATGTTATAATGAATGATAACATAAAAATCATATCGAAATCACATTTGATTTTTGTTTGGCCTTTTTAGATTGTCAGTTGGTGTGAGCCGATACTTCATCTCTATTATTGAAATTATGTATGTGAAATTCTTCAACCTCTTTATATTAGTTTGTTACCTAGAACTTGAAGTATTTATAAATATAAATAATTATATCATCAGTAAGTGTTTTTAGAATAAGAAAACTTGCCGAGTGCAATTATAAATGAATGATATATTTATTGATTTATTTTATATTATACTAATATTATTGAGAAAAAAATATTCTTTGTACAAATTATCATAGTTTTTGTTTTGTTGAATTTATTTATCCTCATAGACTGAAGGGATGAATAACTGAACAAATTCGTCCCAAGTCGCTATTAACAAGGCAAAATAGGTTAGTATTTGATCGATTTGATGAACATAACGATATGGCACCCACAGTCTCGAAATCCTGGATCGTCTCTGCTCGTAGCTGATAGGATACAAAGTAAAATGACCGAAGGTATATTTATGCATTAGATCAAATTTAGGGTTGCGTATCGGTTGGTTCAGTTTGGTTCGATTTTAAAATTTATCTATTCGACTTATCGATTATCGGTTTGTAGACATGCTAAACCATTATAGAACCAGATATTGACTTATCGACTATTGATCATTATCGATTTGATTGTCGGTTTAAGATTTTACATAAAAAATAAATGATTGAAAACCACAGTGACAAACCAAATATTAGTAAGAATCCTTAAGTATATTATTTTATATTTAAGCTGATTCATTCTATTTGTCCATTTCTTGATAGACGGAGTTTACTAACTGGTAGACTGAATTTACTATTATTGTCAAATAATAATTATTTATTTATTATCCTAATATTTAAAACTTTTAAATTAATAAAAAAAATAAAGATATTACATGTTTACTTATTTATAGTAAGTAAGAACTCCAAAAAATATTTCTTATTTGAATTATATTAAAATCTAGACATTAAAACTTTCAAATCAATTACTACAATTTTATTAAATTACAATAATCTTATGGAAAATTACACAAGGAGAGCTTTAACTGTATCTGCATCAGAATGAAAATAAAAGGACATATCACACGTATCACATAAGGAGCGCTTTACTATATCTACATTAGAATGAAAATAAAAAGACATCACACGTTTAATGAGTAGGTTTTAATTTGATTTTTTAGTTTCATAACAAGGAAAAAAATAGGTCCTTCTATAATTATTGTTTCAAATGAAATTAAAATCATAAAATTTACTAGTAAAATTTTTTGAATCTCAAAATTCTGGGATCTAAAACAAACACTTTACTAATTTCAATACACCAACAACTTCACCATATATCTTCATGAATGCACACAACCAGGGACGGAGCTACAATCAAGCAAGGGTGATATTTCGTCGAAAAATTATAGCGTGTATATAAATAAAATATCCATAATTATTTTGGGATATTATTAACAAATGCACACACTTAGTCCCAACATGAGTTGACAGTATAATCATTTAAGTCCTTGTGTGGCCAGCGGTTTGATTCTCGTTGCTTCCATTTTTTAGCACAATTTTCTTCAAACCCAATTATGTTTTAGGACAAAAATTAAATGTTACTTTCTAAGAAAAGAAAATGTCTCAACAATTCACTTAATATGTCAAAAAAATGTCTCAACAATTCACTTAATATGTCAAAAAAATGTCTCAATAATTCACTTAATATGTTGATGTTCCAATGTGCACTTCGCACACCGCATGAGAAACAAAAAAACTATTTTACTACGTTACTACTATAAATTGATGTTTAAAAATATTAAGTATTGAATTTATTTTTAAAAAAAATTAATGCTAAGAATAAAATATGAAAAAAAATATTATTTTTTTCTAATATATAAAATGACAAGTAAAAAAAATCTATTTTAAAAATAATAAACCAATAAAAATGAATAGATGGAGTAATAAAGAGTAAAACTTATCCGCACCGGGTGTATACACCAATCCAATACATGCATGCCATGTGTTTAAATTTTATAGTTCATTTTACTTAACCTTAATTAATTAACATGTGTTTTACTTCATTAAATCACATAATAATGAAAATTACGTTAGTTTACTTTTACTTTGCATGCCATTTAATAATTAATATAAATATATTATCATAATATATATACTATTCATGTTCAAAATACTTCATTTTAATTAAAAATAATCTGATCGAGAAAATATAAAAGTAAACTCAAATGTTTAGTATCAATTATTTCTTCTATTCTAAATTTTATGATTCACTTTTCTTTTTAATCAATTTTATAAAGAATAACATATTTACATATTCAGTAACAATTTAAACTTTATGTCAAGTCAAACTATTTTTCTTAAAAAATATGCGATGCATCTTATTTCTAACACAATAAACCAAACAATATAATTAATCGAAAAATAATATCAGAAAAAACTAATCCAAAAATACTAACCTCGTCACAGTTGTCTTCAAACCAAACAGCATCTTATCTTATTATACTAGCAGTTGTACTTTCTTTTTTTTGATTTCTCACTCGGTGTTCGATATTCACATCAACTGCATTTAAATTTACACTGAAAAATCTCATATTAGAGTGAAAACGCTCCCTAATAAAGGCAATTTCGTATCATAGGGACTCAAACCCAAAACATCTTAATTAAAAATGAAGGAGTATTTATTACTACTTCACCACAACAATTGTTGTTGCAGTTGTGCTTTCTTTTGTATGGCACACCGCACATGTATATCCCTTTTGTGGAATTTATTTTATTCACCTTTTAGTTTCTCATTTGGTTGGTAAAATAGATCAATTTGAAGTCTATAAAACACAGAGTCTGTCAAAAGGAAAATGTCATCAATTCATGCTTCTTTTGAATCTTGAAAAACAATTTGGAAATAAATAATTAATATTAAAAATAAAGCATGAAAAATATGTTTGTGTTTTAATATGTTAAAATTGACTAGTAAAAATGAATGGCTGAATAAGTACTTTCTACATTACTCAATTGAGAGGCTAGTAATTTAGTTGAGACAAAATGCTTTATGTAATTAGTGTTAATGGTGTAAAACATGAAATGGTTTTTTTTTTTTCATTTATGTATACATCAAACCAAGTTAATTTGAAGAATATATTAGTCATTTATGTATCCTCAAGTATTTTATTTTTTACTTAACGTGATTCATTCTATTTGTCCACGATGAAGTTAATTGTATATAAAATTAATTGAGTTACACGCACATAAACTCAATCACCACAATTTATATATAAAACACAATATGTACGAAAATATGCATTATTATTTTCTTAAAATTTTATATGCTATTTCGTTCATTAATTGGTCGGTTCTGACAATTAGCTGTTGAAACTTTAAGTAAATGTTGAAAATATTTCAAATAATTTTTAAACAACAAATTTTCTGAGGTCATCGTAAAAGCCAACTTTTGTACAGATTTGATTTTACAAAACTAAAATCATTTTTTCTTTATCAAACAGCTTTAGTCTTCTTTGTTGTGATGATAAACGTTGCTGAAGATTTTTAAACCAAACAGTCTTTATAATCAATGTATAGAGGATTTTAGTAGCTTAGTTGGTTGGCTACCTCCTACCCGAACTCCCACCTAGTTGGTGAGGTTCGATTTCTCATATTATAATCCCCTACCCCAAATAAAAAATAATTACAAGATCAACATATAGGGTCTTATCACTCAATCAAATATCAGGATGAGAGCTTTTTCCTGAATTTAATGACCCGATAAATCACTGATCAAAGAGCAAACATTAACCTGACAGACCCAAAGGATTAGCACTTGATCGACAACGTATAGCTTCTGTGAAGAAAAGTTGTAGTTCTCGAGGCCCCAACTACAGCAGAGGCAGGTATTCATTCTCTAACAGAGAGGAGAACAAAATCAGGCTACATGGATAGCAATCAGCCAAGCCACCAGGCTTGAGAATACGGCGAAAGTCTTCTTTGATTAACAGTTAAACCTGTGCACAACTCTATATAATGAGCAACTCAAAAGCTCCTAGATTCATCTTAAACCTAAAGAAAAGCGCAACTTGCCAATCAAATGAGGCCAGGATTGAAGAGTTTTGGTGTAGTAAAAGGCATCTACTATATCCGTCCCAGGTAAATCCACCAGCAGTTGGCTAGCTACGAAATAGTTTTTTTTTTTTTTTAAACTGTCTAATCAGATGGCAAAGCTACCTATGAGTTTGATTATGCAACAAGTTTTAACGTTATATTTGACATTAATTTGAGCAAAGCTTAGAAGAAGGGATAAATTAAAGAGCTAAGGGTGAGTTCAGCCATCATCCTCATCTGCCTCATCATCATCGTCGTCGTCGTTATCCTGATAGAGAGGAATAAAAGACCCATTATATAAGATGTTATAACCAAACTTCAAATGTCAGCGCATTTTCAAATTATCAATTAAAAGCATGTATACCAAAAGGAATGAGATAAGCATTTAGGTAATTCATTTTCAATCTCAGATATATAAATTACATAAAGCCTTCAAGACAGATTTTGCAAATATTAGACGTAATTATAGATGTATTTCACTAATTTGACTGTTGTCTGGATAATATAACTCCTTTGTGTATGATACACATACATGACATGAGTGGCAACTTTCTAGCAATTCAGCACACCTAAAATTCATATTTCATCTACACATGACGGGAAGTAATGAGCTAGTTTCCGGTAAGGTAAAGTCACCTTTCCTCAGGAGAAGTCATACAAATAAACAATTAGGTATTGCAAATGCAATTTTGTAGCTTGGAGCCTTTTTACTTCTATGGAAGGTTGGACCACATATATGGGACTCCAAGACGTTTTTGTCCCAATTTACCCTGAAATCCCCTCCTTTCAAGTGGTGTCTAGTGGTAAAAGATGAATACATGTGTTTAAGAATAATGTCAATTCTCTGTCCTGGAAGCATAAGGCTATAAACTACACTTGAAAAGTGTAGATGTCTTCCCCTAATGCCTCAGCTTGCCCTCTTATTACCTGTTACCTATGTCCCACCACTTTCTTTGGTATGTGCTTGTGTTCCTTCCAAGGCTTTAATTAATCGCAGATTGAACGGTACTATGACCATCGATTACTAAAGCAATCCAAGACAGCTGAATTCACCACAGTGCATCAGTTTCTATTTACCATTACTAAAGTTGTGTGGTTCTGGCTGTAGCATCTTGAAGGGAACGGTTGTCATTGGAGTCAAGACACAAGAGTAGTTGTGAAAATCCAAGGCCTAAAGAAGCTCAGATCCAAATTGGCCAACTCAAACACTAAAATGTTTAGGGGATAATTATGCATCTCTAGATGTTTGTTTCATGACATTTGCACCATCTATTATGCGAATAAAGGTTTCTACTTTTAACAAGGAACAGTGAGATAGGAACGGACCAAAGGACAGCAATAACATCACAGTACATTTAAGTGATTTAACCATAAATAATCAGAAGATCCAATAGGTTGGTCAGAAAATCTTATAGCATAAAACCAGAAGGTCCAAATCAAGCAACTTCAAAAAAGAAGATGGTCTAATCTCATCAATATTTACCTCTTCATCTTCATCGTCCTCGTCCGTGTCCTCGTCTCCATCAGAATCTTCTTCATCAGCTTCCTACAAGCAAAGAACAAATTTCTCTTAGATTGAAGAAGGGAAGAAGAAAGGACAATACATCAGATAACCTTGAAAGAAAAGGTAAAATGTCACTACATTGTTAAAATATTTCAGCGGATTAGGCCATAAGTCCTCCTTAATTATCTCGCCCACCTGCAGTCACAGGGAAACATATTTAATATCTGAAAGAAACTGGATTTTTAAAAGCTTATGTTTGTTGCACTATACAGTGTATTCAGTTTCTGATAAGGAAATCAGAGAAAAGACAAAAGATAATTTATTTCATCAATAAATCGTTACATAAGTTGCCATATGATTATGAACTCATCAAATGATTAGCAATGAATGCAACAAAATAAATAATTTCAAGCAGTCCGATACAACAATTACCTCATCACTAAGCCCATCCGCAATGTCTTTCAGCTGAGTCTCAGAAAACCAACTAAAAAAGCTGCATCCATCAGCATATGGTTATTGATGATATAATATACGGTTAGTAAAAGATCTCAGATACTTCTTCTCACCATATCAATAGAAATTAGACACATGCTAACGTTTTAGAAATTTAAACAAGCAATGTATGGAACAATTATCAATACATAAAAATAATTTTTTAAAAAATAAAAAATTATCAATACATAAGATTTTCCTTCCTTGGTCAGATTTTCATTTTCCTTCCAAATCTTTTCTTGAATAATCTTTGTAACTACTCAAGACTTTGTTGTCAAAATCAGGGAGCTTCCTACCTCAAAGCATGGAATTAACAATCCCAGAAGGTCAGTTATATACTCGAGAAAGTGAATAACAATTACCTGTCTTCTGATGCTGGCCGCTTGTTCCCTTTCATCTCAGGATTACCACCATAAGCCGCACCCTTCAAATTACAGTTATTCATCAAGTTTCCATGGAAAAGGGGTCTCAAGGAAGAAGAAAAGGAGGCTTCTAACACATAACAAGTTACACAGAGGTAGCCATTACCATGCCTTCCTTCCACTTAATAGCTGTACCAGTTATCTTTGTTGATCCTTCATCAAGGAATGTATATGTCTTGACCAGTTTTGTATCTTCAAAATAAGGATTTGGTTTGAATATCTGCAGGTTGAAAGAAAAAAAAAATAGAAAGTCAGCAGCAGCAACTTGTTGCAAACACTGTGAGATGATATAAGCTGTTGATGCATATTTAGTACAGCCTTCAAGTAAGGAGGAGTGTTTTCAAAAACAAAGAACTTACAAAAGTAAGGGAATAGCCGGATGTCACGTCCTTGAAATCCTCCACATCAAGAGAATCTAAGTACTTGAAGATCTAAATCAAAGGAAGAACATTGTTAAGAAAAGAAGATACCATCCTCACATAATATATCTAAGAACAATTTAAACAACAGGCACTATAATAAGGCTATATCACAAAACATTTAAGACATTCCGAAGGAAGTCCTCTAACACAAGTGAAGTTGAATAACATGTCACACCTTCTGATCTTCCACATTCAAAAGCTCACCAAGTGCAGGGTGACTCAAGAACTGCATAGACAAAAGTTAATTACAGATAAAAATTGTCATTATCACTCAATTTTCCACTACAGGGATGCTAATTGAAATCCGGAAAGATATTGACTGGACTTACGGCAGTCACCCAAAAGTCAGGAATTGATTTGATGAGCTCATTTCGTTTCTCGTAAACAGGCCTCCTTATCTCATTATACTTCTGTTCAATTTCCAATACCTCCTCACTAGCTTGTTCATTCACCTGCACAATGCAAATAAAAAATGGAAGGTCATAAAAAGATATTAACAGCATTTGCTAAACAAATTTAGATGCAATTGAGAACATCAAATTGATAGGTACTTGAACCAGTTTTGTTGAGACAGTAACTTTTTTATACTATTATGTTGAGCACACAAGGGAAGCAGAATCTCAAAGAAGGTGTATGGGTATAGAGCTAAAAAGAACTGGATAAAACTATACTTCAAGTGAATTGTCAGGGAATGAACTAAGTTCTTACCCCAGAGGCCCAGACCCAATTAAAGTGAACAGCTATGGCTGCTTATTATCGTTAGTAAGTGTTTTCCAGTTAGGCCACCTTATGGACATGATAACACATTTTGCAGTGATCCATAAAGCACAAAAATATGTACTTGCCAAAAGAGATGTGTATATGTACTCAGAAGTTTGGCACATGTCAATCAGTCAATGACGTGAGCATTGGATACTTCAAAAGAACTTTTTCATTGGAAGGTCGGGATCAAAAAAACCACAGCCAAATGCTGGAATATAACATGTAAATTACACCAACTATTATGCCTCAATCCCAAGAAATTGGGGTCAGCTTTATGAATCTTCATTGTCCATATTGCTTCATCTGAGCTCATATCAGTCCAATATTATATAAATTAGAATTACACATAAAAAAGCAAACAGTAGAAGTTCTCTAAATTCATCTACCATACAAATCTTTGATAGAACTAGAAGACTCATAAAAAACATTGGACTTGAAGCAAACATACTAAATAATATACCAGAAAAGATCTCATTAAATATACCAAAAAAAATATACAATAACTATCTCAATTTGCAATTATACACACCACAAAGTTGGGCACGTGTTAAATGGATCACAGAATAGGGCCAAGTCAAAGTATGCTAATATGTCAGACACACGAAACAAAATCTTATATGATTTTAGTTCCAGACTTGCATCAATCAACTAAGTCTCAAATCTCAATCCTAAATTTAAACTAATTGATCTCAAGAATTATGTCAATGTCCAATAGGAAAATAAAGCATAACTGCTAGCCTTCAGGAATTTCTCAGTTATCCCATATAAAAGAGGGAAATGAATCAATGAAGCATCCCATTCATCAATTATCAACAATCATGTCCATAAGCTCTAAACTGAACTGATTTAGATAGAAAAGAATCAGACCACTTATCAGTTATTAGCAATCATAGTTCATTACATGATTTATTACCATCATAAGTCTTCACACTTTTCCTATAGAAATTTTCCAAACACTACGCTGTTCTTTTCCATATCAAAGTAGGTTACGACTTGAGCTGCCGGACTGGCTACAGTAATTGGCACAAATGAATTGGTCTTGCTAATTGTTAATGGGTCAAACTTGCTCGCTTTTCGCACCTTTAATTCACTAGATGGATTCCCTCTTCTTTCTGAAAAGACGTTACTTTCTATTTCGTTTTCTTATAGACTTATTGTGCAATTCATCTATCCGTGATCCAACATTCAATGTTTATTTCGAAGTCACTTAATACTTTGTGATGGTTTCCAGAAATCCAAATAGCCAAAATTTAATATGGAAGTTTCATTCAAACTCTAAGAATATAAAGTGCACTGTAAATTAGAGGATCCCTTTGAGTGTGGCCAACAGTGGTTTAGCTGAATATTGAAGCTAGCAAGCCATAATGAGTGATATCTGACAGATTTCTATGAGATGATGGGATTATGAGTTATTGAAGAGGAGACAAGAAAATTTGGTAAGGAATAAAAGAATAAATGACGAGAGAGAAATTTAGGGGAGAAGGAGATATAAATACATGGAGAATCAGATAGTGTTAGTAACGCATTGGTTGGCGGTATGGATTGTAGTCTTTTTATGTCGTTTAGGGTAAAGTTATCTCATGAGCTAGCTTTTGGGGTTGAGTTACGCCCAAGGTCCATCTTTTGAACTGATAGTAATCTCTAGCAAGAGACTGACAATTTATTATACTCCTTTTTATACTACCACCATCAATAATGACACGTCATAATTAAATCAGGACTCAGGAGCGCTAGCAGCAGAGATTATGTGCCTAAGTGCCTTAATGTTTTGGAAAGGATCCCCTTTTGCTGGTGAAGTGTGTAAAATCTAGCCATATTTAAAGGCTGCCATTTGGTTTAAGAAAACCAACTTCAAAGATCTAGAACTAAACATCAGCCCTTCTTTTGTTCCATTTAATCCATCACGTCACCTTAAGAAGTTAACAAGTGTACCCTAGCAATAAAACGCTTCTTGTCTTCTCCCTTTGTGACTTACACTAAATATATTTTCGACGCTAAGAAAAAACAAAAGGACAATTGTTCAACTAATCATTTCCAATTACAGAGGAATTTAATACGCCCTCCATCCCAAAATAAGTGTCGCTTTTCCCTTTTAGAGAGTCAATTGGATTAACTTTTTAAGCTAAAGTGGACTAGATCAACTCAATATCATAAAATTAAAATTTAGATACTCAAAAACTATATGGGAAGTACTATAAGTTGCAATTCTTGTCATGTCAATATGATCAAAACACACATTTTAAAAAAATTGATCAAAGTTCACATACTTTGAATCTTGAGAAGCAAAAAAGCAACAACCAATTTAGGACGAAAGGAGTAACAAACTTCAAATTTTATCTTATTTTTTGTTGATAACCATGGTATTCAAGCCATCTTCCACGCATCTCGACCAATTCCAAGGGATACCTGCTACTGTTGTGGCTATTCTTTTCTCTATTGTTTTTAACATGACTTATTCACTACTGAATTTTCTTTTCATTACCTAGTTAGAACTGTTTTACTTGAGCCTAGAGTCTTTCGAGAAGAGCCTCTCTGCCTTCACAAGATCCCCACTTGCGGGATTACACTAGGTATGTTGTTGTTGTTGTACCTGCTACATCCCACGTACTAGGTAATTCTGTCCATCAACAAACTTCAAATTTTCTCCCTTCTTTACACTTTAAGCTGTACTCACTCTACAACATCTCCAACAAAACTTAAGCTAATCGTAAATCCCAAAAAAAAAAATGATCCTCTAATACAGCACACAAACTTCAGATTTTCTCCCTTCTTTACACTTAAATCTGTCTACTCACTCTACAACATCTCCAACAAAATCTAACCTAATCGTCAATCCCAAAAGATAACAGAATGATCCTTTAATACAGCACACAAACTTCAGATGTTTCTCCCATGTTTACACTTAAAGCTGTCTACTCACTCTACAACATCTCCAACAAAATCTAGCCTAATCGTAAATCCCAAAAAACGAATGATCCTCTAATATAGCACACAAAGTTAAGTTAAAAAGCAATGAACAATCAATCGATCAATCAATCAAGTGGCCAATCTGTTTTATTAAAGCAGAAACCTAAAACAAAATCTTTTCTTTCTCTAAAACAAGTGAAATGGCATCGAAAACATAAATTTCAACAGTTCTCATAATGCAGAATCATATCAAAAGGGGTTGAAAAACTACTAAAACTCCACAATCAAACACTAATAGAAAAATCTCAAAATTTTAAACAAAAAACACAACATGCATTACAAAAAGTGTTAAAGATTAAACCTTTTCAAGTTCATCTTGAACTTCCTGAAGCTTCTCAATGGAGGAAACACCACCAGTATCAATTTGTTGGGCGTTTTCCTCAACTGCTGTCTTCAATTTCTTGGAATTGTCAATCACCATTTTTTTCAGAAACCCTAGAAGGAATCTGCTTAAACCCTAATGCTGAAGAAGAAAGAAGCGTGATTTTCTGTGTTTGCTCCAATCAATTTATTTGTAAACAGACCAAACTATACAAAAAATTTAATTTCTTTTTTTCCTCTTAAAGTCTTACAACATTCTCTGTCATCCTCGTATGTTAATTTCACCTGTTAATGTGTAACTGCCACGTCATAATAGTTCCAAATTAAGACACTGTTCATCAATATGACTAATTTTGTAAAAATGGTGTACTTTTATTTATTGTCAATTTGACTAATTTTGTAAAACTGGTACTCTTATTTATTGTCCATTTGACCAATTTTGTAGAATTGAGTTAAGCTAAATGACTTAATAATTTATTTTTTCTAAAATACATTTTAAAAATGAGTACTATCAATTGTAGTAACTTTTTCTGAATATCATATGACAAAAATTATATTATAATCAAAATTCATTACGAAAGTGGATCAATTGAAATAGTGTGGTAGGCATACTAGTGAACATTTTGGAGCAATAAACGCGTCATTGTATGGTTATTATAGAAATAGAGGTATTACTATAGCATTTTTATAAAAATCTTTAAGTTGAATTTTTGAGTTTAAATACTTTAGGACAACGAAAAAATCTTGATGAATTAGATGCTACCAGGAGCGTATCTAGGTGGGGATCACCAGATTCACGTGCTCTTCCTAAATTGTATATATCAGTGTTATATAAATACTTAAATATAGATGTCTCGAAGTGTAATTATAGTTGAACCTATAGCTGATCAATTAGGGCAAATTTATATCTTAGATCCATTTTTTTTCGGGAAAAGGGACAAATATACCCCCGAACTATCGTAAATGGTATGCAGATACCCTCCGTCATGCTTTTGGAATATTGGTGCCCCTGTTGTCTAAAAACTAGGGGATATGTGCTCTAGTTTTTGAACGGCATGGACACTAATGTCCCAAAAGTATGACGAAGGATATATGCATATTATATACGATAATTTGGAGGTATATTTATCCTTTTTTACTTTTTTTATAATAATTATCTTCTTTCAAAATTCTGAATACGCCTCTGGATGCTATTTACTAGTTTTCTTTAGTTAAGTTATTTTGTTGTTTCTAGTTTGGACTTGCTAGAAAGGTCCATAATTTTTGGCCTGACCAAGTCTGCTTTTCTGTTTAAAAAATGTGTTACAAGTCCTGCCGTGCAAGTTTCTGCTATTCTTTTTCAGTGAGGATGGCATGATATTTGCCTCAATTTAGGTTAGTTTGTTACATTCTTATGTACAACACGCAAATCCTTAAACAACACTGCCCATTAGTGCCATATCACTTGTCCTCCGTCGTCCTGAATTAAGATATTTTGATCACTTACAAAATGAACAGAAAATATTATTTTCATATTAGTTTTTGTGTGTATAAAAATGAATATACCTGAAAATTCAATTACTGGTAAAAACTTCACCACTATGAAGATGTGTCACCCATGTCAAAGCTATCATATTCACACGTGATTTTAGGTATGACACATGTTATTATTGTAGTCTAATTACCAATAAAATAAGTAAAAGCGAGAAAACACTTTTTCTTTTTAGTTTGTTAACAAAAGGGACATATTTTATATTTAGAAATAATTTAATTATATTTTTAATGAAAAATTTATAGCCACGATTTTTTTATAATTTATTTAGATCACAAATTCAACAAAAAACTTTTTAAAACTTTTCACTCTATCAAACACTCTTAAATGTAGCATCCCTGATGGACCATACAATTTCGGCCTAAGCGAATTACATGATATCCATAAAAATCAAGGTCTAGTGTCTTTAACCCATAAGGCCCATGGTTGGATTTAAAATAGGAAACTAAGCAAATACCCCATAAAATCAAAATAATTACAAATGTATAACCCTTTATATTTATATCCCACTAAATAATTACACTATATATCCCTAACTAATTTTGCTTATCTGATATACTAAATCATTATCACATATTATATTGTTATCATTAAAGTACATAATTTCGCTTAATTGATACTAAATCAGTATATATTGTATTGGTATCATTAAGGTTTCTTGTTCAGTCAATGATATTATATGAGTATATATATATATATACTCTTATAGTATCAGTGACTAATGAGTAATTTCTGAACAAGAAACCTTAATGATATATGTATATATATATAGGGTTGAACCTGCGTCTCATGTTGGGAGTCTGTTTGGCATATATTTGGATTTAATGTTATTATGATATATTGACTCATAAAATCTTTATTTCTTTTTGCCTTAGGTGTAAAGTTTCTTTCAGAATGATATTCTGGTTCTTGTTCTTCCTTTAAGGTGTTTGATCCTTCCCCTTTAACAAAGTTTCCTTGGGGTCCTCCAGTATCACCTTTGTTCATATTTTATCCCAAATAAAAACAATCTTACAAACCTTGCCAAAGGAAAACCTTATTTTTCACAATTTAACTATAAAAGTGGATTTTGACAAATAAAATTAGCGGAAGAATCTATCCCATTAACAACGTTTAGTATGCCTAATGGACACTACGAATGGTTAGTAATGCCTTTCAGATTAAAAAATGCCCCTCAAATCTTTCAAAGAAAGATGGACAAAATATTTTTCGAAAAGGAATTTTTAATCGTTTATATAGATGATATATTAATATGTTCTAACACATATCAAAAACATTTAACTCACCTGAAAGAATTTTCAGAAATATGTTTGAAAAATGGAATTATCCTAAGCCAAAAAAAGACGGAAATAAACAAAAATGAAATAGAATTCTTAGGAATGATTCCAAATCCAAAACATTAAAGGAAAAAATCCTTGACATTGAGCTTCACAGACTGGAAGCAACTGAAGAAACGTGGAAACTTGCTTGCAAATTTCTAGATCATAAACATTCAGCACATGATGAATCTGAATAGAGTCTTAATTGAGAACAAACACCTGTAAAAGCAACAATGTAGATAGTAAAAATAAAAAATAAAAAAATAAAAAATAAAAAAATAAAAAATAAAAAAATAAAAAATAAAAAAAATAATATATATATATATATATATATATAATGAGCAATTTCTGAACAAGAAACCTCAATGATATCACAACAATATACATATATTATTATAGTATCATTGACTAATGAGTAATTTCTGAACTAGAAACCATAATGATACCAATACAGTGTATATATATACTGATTTAGTAACAGCTAAGTGAAATTATCAGCTTTAATGATACCAATACAGTATATTATACTGATTTAGTATATGAGGGTAAGGGCTGTAATTATTTATGAGAGAATGAGTATTTTAGAAATTACTTTGGATTTGAATATGAACTTGTAATTATTTTAGGTTTTATGGCTCATTTATGTAGTTTTTCCATTAAAATATGGTTTGACTTGTACCTATGTTGTTTTATAACTATATAAAATATTATATATACTACTACATATGTTAGTACATATTATTGTTTTCATACACTATTTTTAAAGAAGGGATTGCAGAGCTAGACTGATTGTGAAAACAATAAATAATGGCCTTTGAAATTTCACTGTCCTAAATAGTGAATACTCGATCGGCATTATTACTAATATTAGTTGTTGTTTTTTTTAATTTAAATTTTTATTTCATATTTCATCTATTCAAAGGTCTGAATCACGTAAAATTATTTTATTGAAATCGTTTCCTTAATGATTCATACAAAACCTCAAAATTATATTGCATATAAATCAAAATGTTATCTTGTATCTAAGAATATAGAAATGTTTAGACCAATGTACTAAGAAAAAAAATGTTAAACTAGTATGGATCGCTATTATATCATTTTATTAAAAATCCTAACAAAAAAATCCTGATCAGAGATATATATTTGAAAACTGTGATGAATTTATGTGAGCTATTAAAGCTAGCTTTTGACATGTGAAATTTAGCAGGTAACAAGATTAATTTATTTTTATTATCATAATATAGCATTATATGTACACCTTAATTAATTTTACGAGCTATTGATAACTTTCCATCAACAAATGCAAAATAGAAATGCAAATTTCTTTTTTTTTTAAAAAAAAAAAAACATAAAGTACTGGCTAGAATTTAGTGTAGACCTAATTAAAAATAGTAGCATGAGACTGTAACCACGTTGTTAGTCTCTCCCTAATATTGATAAATTCCAACTTTGATCCTTATAATATATTGCTAACCATATACAACATTTAATTAAGTGAAATACACACTTTCAGTTCATCCTCTTCTCAAATTAAATGAATTATTAATCATGACATTATTTAATTGCCTATATGTTACCTTAAATAATTTATAGTGCTATGAGGGTTAACATAATTCTTAAAATAGCCCGAATGAAATATATTTCTCAAGTAAATGGACAAAAAATCATAGTACTCGTTATTCAATTAAAAATTGCATGTGCTTAATTTATATATTATAAGAACCAAAATAAGAAATTATAAATAATTAAAGAGCAAAATTGCTCCTATTTCTAACTTAGTTAATGGTGAACAACTACAGAATATAGCAAATATCAATTTATATTCGATGTATATAGCTACATTTTTTGGATATACTTACATATTAATTAGCAAACTTAATTAACCATGAATTGTCAATTTTTTTTTAAAAAAATTATATGTATTTAAATAATTATTAAATAGGAAAGATATCACTACACACCTAACAAATGCAATATGCACGTTTTATGGTGTTATGTTCCCCAAACTTACCTTATTCAATATTTTTCTCTTTCAATATACATGTATCAATGTCTCTTTTTACTATTTTCCTCCCAATTTTCTTCTAATTCAAGATCATTTGCATGATTGTAGGAACGATTTTTGTGATTCATCTTCATTGCTATTTTCTAATTGCATTTTTTCTCGTTTATATGAAATTTATATTTGTATACATGTATATGCTTCTCGATTTTCGTGGGTTTTGTTTGAAGAAGTTATTTTCACCAGCATTCAAATATACAATTTCGTTGGATACATAAATACATTACATAGGTTTGAATGTATACGTATACAACACATCTATTTTTAAAAAAATTCACTTTGATACAAATGAGGTAATACATGAATACATTTC